GCAAGTTTCACGGCGAAAGTTCTAAAGAGCGTAGGAATAGAAGTGATCGAAACAAAGTGATGGAACGACGGACAATGAGGACTCTTCTAGTTAGCTTATTGTATATAGTATGTGGCCTCGAATTGCAGCTTGCTTATTCCACCGCTAGATACTGGTAGATCGGAAAAATTGTGTAATTGCGATGCTTCAATGTTCCTATGTTCCTAATAAAGTAGCTTAAGAACCTAAAAATGTATATATTCAGTGTGTAGTAGTAGCATACAGTAACAGTTTGTTTATTATTCTGATATTTGTTCTAAAGCTAATAAATCTCGAGTTCGTCATATTCGCTGCAGACCTTGTATGCCAAATACTACCCAGCAGCCTGTTCTGGCTCTGATTTGAGGGTATTACTAATGTAGTACTTACTAACTTGTACAAAACAAACTTATTAAGCTACGTATAAAAAGTAGGGCTTCGTGGCCATGACGCTCATGATGTGTGAATATTATCTGCCCGCACTAAAGTGTGCAAAACCGTTACAATTATGGCAACAACAGCAAGTGGCGACAAGCAGCGAATTTCCATAAAAAGGTGTTAAATAATTTCACTTTCTTGTCTTGGTTGGCACTTTGTACGGCAACAAATGTCCCCGGCACTTGTTATTTTTATTTTTTAGTTTTTTATTATTATTATTATTTATAACTTTTATGCCTCATTTTGGTTTATTTCTGTTTGTTATTATTGGCGTTATGACTGGGCGCTACAGCTTAAGAGAAAAAAAACAAGCTCGAATCATTTCACATTCGCACCCAAAAGCATTTTCATGACATCGTGATGATGAAGTCGTCCGTTCACTTTTATTTGATCGTTTAGTGTTATTTCCAACTTTTACATACAATATACAGAGTATGTTTGAGTATAGTTGTCATTGTTGGCTTGTTAAGCCCTACCATTATGTCGCTTTTGTTATTTCCATTTCATCTTTTCAGCGGGCCTTAAATCTAAAGAAGAAACGTACACATGTGGCTAAGAAACAGCAATTTGCATTTACAGAGCTTCCAATGAACTTAATAAATAAGGTCTTTTAAAAGACAAAATGGCTTTACTTTCAGTTAGCACCTCATCGTCTTCAATCACTAAACTGAAAACATTGTACTTCATCCAGCTGACCTGTTCAAGCTTTCCTCTTTTCCCGTTTAATCAAACGTTTCTACGAGGGCAGTCCGAAATGTTTCTAGCAACCAAAAAGTATTCGGCGTGCTGCTCGTCAAAATGGTTCTTTAAAATTTGAGCTTAGAGACTAAAATGAAGTCACTTGGGATTCAAAGCGTAATTCATGGATGCACTGGATAGCATTGGAAACACCCGATGTACATACATATATCCAATTCGTAGCACAAAATATTGCAAACGCGGTCTATGGATATCTTGATGACTTCTTTTACTTTGATTCGGCTGTCGTTCAGAACCAGTTTTGGCCATTTTTCGTTCATGTTTTTGTACATCTCTCATCTTCTTTGCCCGTACATCCACATTTCAAATCAAAAACAAATATCCCAGGACCGCACAATCCTCAACGTTGTCCACTTTAACAAAAGCGCTGATAGCGACTTAGTTAATCGAGTTTTGAACGATAACTAAAATTATGGCTGAAATTTTGGCAAAAACACATTAAAAGGTGCCTAATCACAATACCAAAGTTTGGTTAATGTAAGAGATCGACTAAACACATTTCTGACTGACCTCATATTAAGGGGCATGGCTTAATGATCAGCCAATTCAATCGATTGAAAGAGTCAGGCGATTAATCTTTACATGTATACAAAAAAGACCCGTGGCAGACCCTCAAAGCATATATGTTATGTTATTCGTGATCAGTATAGACGGACGAGTCGATATTGCAATATCCATCCGTTGGTCTGTATGAACGCAAGCATCTTAGAAAGTATAAGTGCTAGAATAACCAAACTTGGTATCCGGATTTTCTTAAGTCCGAGAAAGTTTTTGTTTCCTTTTTCCCCCCATAACACGCGACATTCTTAGAAATTCGAACTAAAATTTGGTAATTACATGCAATTAGTTATAATGCTTTATCATGATAGGTTAATTCTGGAGAAAATTACAGCCATAAATTAAATCTCTGCCCGAGCTCTGCCAGCAGTTGTAATGTTTATTATACTCTGTACAGGGTGCGCTATCTTTTATGTCGGTATGTAAACATGGAATATCCTTGAAAATAAACAACCGATTTTCAAGTATGAGATATTTTTATTTAATTTGGTTCTGTACAATTTCTTGAACTGAGGTTTTCAACACTGGTCTACTCAAGTCAATCGGTTCACTAATGACAAACTTATTCAATATTTACATACCGGCCTAAGTGCGAGGGTGTGTAAATTCACCCCATCCATTGCAACCAAACCTAACCTATTCCAAAACTTATTAATCTTTAAATTGTTTTAAATGAAACAAGAAAGAAATGCTAGAGTCGAGTGGCCCTATCTCATAAATACCCGGTAAATTAATGCAGTTTTTAGTTATTAGTTACTGTTGTTACTGTTACAATTTATTTTTTGCTTAAGTTACATATTTTATTTTATCCTCTATTTACAAGCACGCCTTGGACTTTTTTTTCCAAATCCCCCGGACGTCCTTATTATTATACTCTGTACATGAAATATACAAGAGTATATTAGGTTTGCGCGAGCTGAAAATGTAACAGGCAGAGGGAGGCGTGGCAGACCCCACAAAGAAGTGGGTGGGAAAATCAAAAAAATAAAACAAACTTGCACAGCGTACACACATAAGGCATCTTCGTGCAAAATTTGGTGTCTCTAGCTCTTATAGTCTCTGAGATCCAGGTGTTCATACGGACGGACAGACTGACAGACCGACAGACTGACAGACGGACAGACTGACAGACGGACAGATAGACAGACAGACAGACAGACAGGGCTAGATCGACTCGTCTCGTCATGCTGATCAAGAATATATACACTTTGTGGGGTCTGCCACGCCTTCTTCTGCCTGTTACATTTTTCACTTCTCGCAAACCTAATATACTCTTGTACATTTCATGTACAGAGTATAAAAACAAATAAAAACGTACAAATAATCCACTTGATTGCATATGCAAGGCCACCTAAATCAAATTATTTAAAAATGATATTCATGCATTAGGAATATATATAAGTAAAAATTTAATGAATATCTAGTGCAAATTAACAATTTAAAAGGGAAATGTCTGTGGTAATGTTAACTGCATCGTCGATTGAGCTCAACTATCACCAAGTTGAGTAAGTATGTACATACACCAAACAAATTAAAAGATACCCTTAACAAAGTAAAATTCGATCATGAAACATTAAATTTAGAAGACCGATATTTTACTATGCATGTATCTTATTATTATTGAATTTAAACGCATTAAATACTCTTTTCTCGAATTAAATACTCTCTCCTCTTATTTTTTGCATATACGATCAGGCTATTATTGTTAACCTTCTTGTTAAAATGAAATTAGTTATAAAATTGTTTTTGTTTTTGAATAAATGAATATTATAATGAATTTTGGAAATGTGAAAAGAGCTTAGCAACTTTTTATTCGGTCCGTCGCCTAAAATTTAAATGATGTATCTCCCAAATAATTAACCATTCTTATAAGGTTTATGGGGCAATAAATAAACAACTTCTATTGCCATGGCCGGCGGGTATAGACGAAGATGCAAATCCAACCCAATTTAGTAGGTTTTTAAGCAGTATTATTTTTCAACTTTAGATTTTTATTTTATTGTCAATTGAACTGTTGGTTTTTTTTGTGCACTTAAACTATTGTGGTAGTGTAGTATGGCAGAAGGAGGTAAGAACCCAAACCCACGCCCGTCGAGCTAAGTTTGAGCGTAGCAAGAAGTGCACTGCTTCTAAATCCTGCCAATGCAATAAAAATGTATACACACGAACACCATATCTACCCACACACTACAAAATACCAAAAATTTCAATATTTTTTTACAAATTTTGTTTTTACACACCTATTATTCTGTCCAACCGAAATATTTGAATTAACTAAACGCTGTTATTTTTAATAGTTGATGAAGCTGCTTATTATTATTTTTTTTTGTAGCTGAATTATGTTTATTTAGAAAACATACATACATACGAAAGGCAAGCGTTTTTGAAAAAATGTTCTCACACCTCTTATTTTGTCCAGGCGTGTAGGTACAGGGTATTTGAAAGTCAGGGCACCCGACTCAAGCTTTTCTATTTATTTTTATTTGTATATATGTACATAGATGGGTATAATAGTATATTTTTTAAATGCCTGTCTACTTGAGTTTAAATAAGTATGAACTTTACTTTGCACTTATAAGAAGTAGTAGCATACTTTTAGGGTTGCAAAAAAATGAAAGGGCTAATATTTCAAATTAGCTTTTCCACTTGTTTTTATACCCTGTAGGGCGTAAGGGTGGTACAGCATTTAAGCATTATAGCTGGATCTCAGAGCCTATAAGAGCTGTAGACACCATATTTTGCACAAAGATTTCAGTCCAAGATGCCGTATATGAATACGCAGAAAATGTGTTTTTTGGAATTCCAATCCAATTGTTTAAATTTACCACTTTTAGCTTTTGCAATGAGTCCGGTGTAAGGTTGCACTTCAGATCTGATAAAAAATACGGACGGACAGACAGACAGACAGGCATAGATCGACTCGACTTTTCAGCTCCCGCAAACCTAATATACTCTTGTACATTTCATGTACAGAGTATATATTTTCTGAGATCCTTGCAGACAGACGGACGCACAGGCGGACAGACAGGCAGACGTGGCTAAATCGACTCGGCTTTGTGGGGTCCGGCACGCCTTTCAGGTACAGCGTATAAGCACCGATATATTTCTCCTCTTATGGTAAACCGATTTAATCTAAATGCGTAAACAGTGTACTGATAGGAATATCGCAATTTATTTGATTTGATGATTACATACATACGTATATATACATTCTTAAATGACGTAACTCTATGAATATTTTATTGTCGCCTCACAAAAAAAATTGATAATTACAGACAAACAAAAAAAAAGATTAAATACTTGCATATTCAATGCAACATATAGTATGGTGATTTATAAACTCTAGGTGTTACGTACTACTTAATTGTCTAAACAATGATATTGGTCCTATGCTAACAATTGAGACTATAAGCACAACCCTTCTGAGTCTAGGGCGTCTAGACTTGACTTGACCATGCCTACTTAAGTTGCTCAGTTTCAAGCAGTGTGGTTTCCATATCTATATGTCTTCAATACCTTGTGATGGTTTGTTCAGGACCCAACGTACAATGGACTCGAGCAGCCACAACAGGAGTGCCACCGCTGTGAGCCCATTGATGACGTGAATCGTTGCTGAATAACTGTGCGCGTCGGTGATGATGCCTGCGAAGAAATGGAGCAGAGGTAGAAGTGTTGGATAAGTATTTCGATTGCGGCATAGATCAGCGGACTTACCCAATATGGGACCCATGGCAAATGAAAATACAGTGTTGAAAATAAGTTGCAAGCCCGATGCCGCCGGCAGGCGCCGCAAAGGCACGTAGCTTGGTATGATGAGCGGCGAGAAAATGGTGCGGAATCCCTTTCCGAAACCGATGACCAAGAATGCGGCGATGGTGACCTCAAACGATGTGGTCATCGTCACCACCAGTCGAGCGAAGGCAATGCACAAAATGCCGAAGGCAAACAGTACCCGATTATCCAGCTTCACCTTCTCTAATGCGAATGGCGAAAGGAAGCGCACACAAATATCCATGCCCGCTAAGAGTGACATGGCCAATGAGATTTGCTTGTCTGTGTACCCGTAGCTATTTAATATAAATGGCGTTAAAACGGAGAAGTTCATCTCGCCGAACATCATAATGCTCATTCCAACGGCCAAATTCACAAACGTGAAATCACGCAGGAGGTCTAGATCGAAGAACTTTGTGACCTTCTGGCGAAAGTTCATCTTTTTCTTGGCTTCTTCCTCAGCTACTGCGGCCGCTTCTAGTGCTTCGAGCTCCAGTTGGCGCAACTTTGCGGACTTTTGGAGCAACGCCTTGTCCTCCGCACATGTGCAGCATTGTAGCAACTCTTCGCCAAATGGTTTTGAGTAGACGCTCGTCTTACTGGCATAACGATCATGGTCCTCACGCTCGCGATTGAAGTAGTTCGGCTTGTATAGGGGCGATGAGGCGTTCAGGTTAGACTCATCTTGTATAGCCCCCGAACCCATTTGCAGATTATCGCGACTGCGCTGAAGAAGTGCCTGCTTATTACGCTGACGTGCTCCCAGCTCTGAGCTCAGCGACAATTTAGAACCAAACCAACCATCATTGGCGCGAGCCAGCATGGGTGTTCCGGGCTCTGTGATCTCATAGCCAGGACGCTCGGGATCGTCATCGTTGAAGAGGTACTGGGAGGAGAAAAGTCCACGCTTGCCACGCTTCTGCCACTGACAATACTTGCACTCATAATCGCTCACAAGATGTTCACCATTATTGCTGGTCGCCAGCAAATTGCCGTTGGCCTCCTTCTCCTTAATGACATTATCCTCAGACACTTGAGTTTTCGGCTTACGCACATGCCTCAACACAGGCTGCAATGTAAGGGCGCACAGCACAGCATTTAGTGATAAGCCCGCATAAATGAGAATGCTGCCCTGGGCGCCATAGTAGCCCAAGAGCAGCGTCGACACGTGCGGAAAGATAATGGGACCAAGTCCGGTGATGGTCCAGGAGAAGCCTGTGGCGCGTCGTCGACGCAGCTTAAAGTACGTGTTGACCGCCAATGAGGTGGCGGCCATGGCCAAGCCTAGACCTATGCCATAAACGCAGGACAGGAAGACAATGTACTGCCAAAAAGTAGTGCAAAAGGCTGACACGAAGATCCCAATGAAACCAAGAGTGGTTCCCGTCAGCGCCACCTGCCTAAATGTGAAGCGACGAAACGTGGCGCCATTGACAATACCTGCAATAAGGCACGACATAAATCGTCAAAAGCTAGACTCGAACCTTCTTCCACTAAGCAGAAACTTACCCACTAGTGAGGATATGGCCATGACCACATTGACAATGGTCGTTGTCTCTTTGGCATCGAATCCTAGGGCTTTCATGCGCCCTCTGTAGATGAGACCATATTGCTGCAGTGCGGGAAACATAAAGAACTGAAAAGAACATGAAGACATCGTTTAGAAACTAACACTAAAACACTTTTCAACTCAATTCACTCACATTGTTGAGGCCCGCTGTGACGCAGACCACCCAGCCCCAACCACCATCGGGGGCTTCAAAATCTGGTCCTAGGTCGCTTTTATCACGCCGTTTGGGCTTCTTTGGCTTGGTTGTCTCCTTATATACGCTCGTTTGATTCTGCTTAGTCAGGTTTGATTTCTCCATTTTCGATGGCTTGGACGAACTGTAAATTTTAATGAATATGAAAAACCTCTTGACGAGCAGAGAAACTTAGTACCAAGATTACTTGTAAGATCACAACACTTCTTATATCAAATATTATTATTCTACTTAGCCACAATATATTTGAAATTTTAGTTTGTAATTAATGCTCGCAATGTTTAGGGAAGGGCAATTCGTTCGTCACGTAAAGAAATTCAAAAAAGCGGTTCAATTTCGCACGTGACGAATGAATTCACATATCTATAGGCCTGTCGATAGAACATTTTATTTACACATTTTTTGGAAAAAAGGGATTTATGTACATATAGTACATATATACAAATATCTAACTTGAGACATCATTGTACTAGTAACTCGACCACTAGTAATTTATAGTTTTGGACACAAGTGCCTCATATTTATGTGTACGGAGTGCAAGTTCGTTTTATTTTTATACCCTGTACCCGTAGGGTAAAAAGGGTATATTAGGTTTGTGCAAAGTATGTAACATACAGAAGGAAGCATCTCCGACCCCAAAAAGTATATATATTCTTGATCAGCATGACGAGAGAAATCGATCTAGATATGTCCGTCCGTCTGGATGAACGCGAGGATATAACTCAGTGACGGAAGATTACATGGGTACAGGGTATTACACTGTCGGGCTTGCTCGACTGTAGCGTTCTCTCTTGTTTTTTAATGCTTTAAGTGATTTTTCATAACTTTTTGGAATTTTTTTTTCTAAAATTCGACAACTACATCTGCTTAGTACTTATGAGATCTCATGTAAAGTTCCACTGTGAAAGAAGAATGCAACACGAAGTAACTCCTATAGAAGACTCTAGAATTTCTTTCTTGTTTTTTGATGCTTAAGCCCTTCGGTATAGGTATATATAGGTATAAATGAATGTATCATGAAACCTATAATTGATACATGGGCCGCCTATTTGCGGATTGCCGGAGTAGTTTCCTTCTCCGCGCAACAGACACACCTAAATGCCAGAAACAGAAAAGTTGCGAGCGTAAGGTAGATGGAGAGGCTTGTCGCCTATCACCATCCTTTTGTACCTAATGCTAGATAATGCTCTAATTGCGAATTGGAATTACCGCTGTTGACAAAAGATGGCAATCATTATCAGGCATTTTCTTAGTATATTTCAGAATCTATGGCGCACTGGGCGGGGCAATGACGATAGCGATGGCAATGGCAATGGCAATGACTATGTCGATTCCGACAAGAGCAGCAATATGTGGCGATGATGAGGATAGGGCCATGTGATCGAAGCCTCGATTTGGTATGCAAAGCACCGCACAGCAAAGGTATCTGAATGGGGCGTGCGATCATATGCAGTCAAGGTGTGTTTGCTTCCCCCTCCTGTTCATCAATTGAAGACGGGCTAAGGAAGTCCTACGACATGTGGCTGGCGGGTGTGCCTAGACTCATATCCACACGCCATAGGCATGTCAGACTATCGCAAAGTCGTAAAGTGATGTGTACAGACAGTTGTGTCCCTCAGTGTGTCTCAAGTCACGAGCTGTTTTGCTCCTGCAGTCAAAGTCTTCGGCACTGCTGCGATAATAAAAAGCAGTAGTAAAAATAAATCGACTTAAAGATGACGGCTACAAAAGGGGCAGACAAACAGACAGACAGACGGACAAAAACAGGCAGCGCCCTCATCCTCATTGCACCACGGTCTTTATTTATGCTTCGATAATGCGACGAGGACGACTCGCGATGTCGACCAAGGCTCATACAAGTAGAACTGAGTGCTGAGGCAGCAGCCGATGCAGTCGACCAAGTTGCCGTATTCAACAGGCAAATCAGTTCGACAGACGGACGGACGGACAGACGGCCTGACGACACTTGAATGTCTTCATTGAGACGACAGCCGCCCAAGCCAGCCACTAAAGTCAACGGAAAAAGGATGGACCTGGAACTGAACATTCCAGTTCAATTTGTACAATTCGATAAGCTACTACATTAGTTCTCTTTTCAGTTCTGAGCCACGCATAGTAGAATTATTCGAGCAAACGTTGAAGCATTTAAATAGTATTAATAGTAGTAATATTTGTAACACGAATATTATATTATATAAAAATGCAATTATTTACTTCGAAGGATAGTTGTGTATAGATATAGTTGTGTATTCAAAATTGGAAAAAAAAGTTCATTGTAGATGCATATATTTTAAAAAGTTTAGGTAAAATTAAAACCAATGCACAAAATCAGCGTTTTTTTGGGTGTCTCCCCGTCCATTCTACACGTCTTTTGGGATGTACATTTTTATGATGTTCTCGTATTTAGTTGACCAACTATAGTACCTACACATACAAGTATATTACATTTAATACTTAACTTTGCTTCAGAAATATGCAACTTTACTTAAGGAAAGCTCTGCACCGCTTTTTTAATTTTGTAATATTATTCTGAGTAAATAGATGAGGAAGACGAAATGGATTTGAAAAAATTTAATTAAAATAATACGATTCAGTAGTTCATCGAGTCCGGTCCGACGGCCGACTTATCCAAACAGTCTTCATAACTTTAGTTAGGCCACAGCCAGAAGATTTTACGCTTTGACCGAACAACTCCATAGGAACGAACACATCTGGTTTTGAGCCAATTCTTGCCAAACGAGATATCTTCCCATTTAACTTTTTCGAAGCGTGCCATAAATTGACGCCTGAGACGTCAGAGAGCCGAAGACTCAGATACCTGTTGATAGCGAGAGACAGACAGAGCGCGAAAGAGGGGGAGTCCAAAGGCCATCAGATACATACATACATACACGTACATACTCGCAGATACATGTGTATAGATGGCACTTAGTAGACAAACCAGACATCGATCAATTGGAGAGAATCAAAACAAAGCAAGACACAACATTCGCGTAGTAGCGTACGCGTAAAAGCCCCAGTGGGCTGAAATGAATGAGCGGATCTGTGATCGTCCGTCACCAACTACCGCAAATGATACCAGTTTGTCCATTTGTCCATTCGTCCATTTGTCCATTTGTCTATTTGTCGGTTGACGATTGCCTCGTTCTTTTGGTTTTTTGCAAATCATGCTGCGTAGACAACAAATTATAATTTGCGCTTGTTCAGCAAATTTTGAAAACCGTCACATACAAATACCAAATACCGAGTAGGTTTATCAAATACGAGTACTGGTACTACTCCAATATGTTCATATGTATGTATACCTGCACACCTACCGGCATGTACAGAATGGTATTGGTGTATACGAGTATTCGTGGAAGGCACTGATAATGCAAATAAGGCAGTGGGCGAGTGTCAAGTGCCGAAAGCTGAAAGCAGAAAGCCTTGACTCATGTACTATTTCACAAGAATATAAGTATTTCACAATCTTAGGAACAAAGTCAATTTGTATAAAATGTATAAATAATGCTATTCTCGTATATGAAGCATACTATATTTATACATATTATATGTGCAATTAAATATAATCCAACATATGCGCCCCACTCGTAAGATCAATCTAGGGGCAAGCATTGCACTTTTAACTGCTATCAAAATGTTCAATATAGTATAGTATGTGATTCGACCACAAGAACTCTAACTAACTCTACGAATATTCCAGCCAAAATAGACCAAATTGCGGGCCACAATGTACAGATGAACCATTATAGATAATAATAATGCTTATTAGATTCAAACATTTTCAAAAACAAAAAAATCCCAGATCAGAAAGTTACCACTGAAACCTAACAGATCGCAAAAGATAAGGACGAAAACTTCAACTACACTTCTTGCTAAATCAGGTGCAATGCGTTGTTAAAATTTTGAGGAGCCCTTTGTATAATTTATCACACAGAACTTTATTTATTAGGCTTGGGTAAACATCCCTCCAATGAAATTATTTATAAATAAATAAATAATAACCATCAGTATTTTTTGATTTAATTTGATTTCATTATAAAATGTCTATTTAAAAAAGTTCTTTGTAAAGTATGGCCTAACCAAAAGATAAACTGTAAATTTAAAAAATATAAGTCTGTTTGTGCCATTTATCTTGTGGGTATGGAAAACATCGAACGGATTGGCCATTCAGCCGTTCAAAAAGCTGACCAGTCGATGAATGCCACATGATATAGTCGCGATATTGAAATGAAAACAGAGACTACTGTGACAACTGGCACTAGTTCATTGTACCGGGTCTTGCTAAAATACTATAATAAAAAATAAAGTAGGATTGGTAAACATACAAATCGCTCAGATACGTAATATGCACATATATACATATACAAGTATCTACTAGATGTGCATGTGTGAGTTAAATAGGAATGGCAATGTCTATGACATAATAAACACACAGAGAATGACTGGGATATTTATAGGGCGGGAAAGAGCACGTGCTACCAAAAAGTAAGTCCATAATGCGCAGCAATACATATAGTCTGAGATACAAATTTGGAGAGATATCGAAACACATATGTATACATATATACTATAGTTCATAATGTACGTATAGCTGATACGCGCACATACATATGTGCGTATCTTATCGAAGTCTAATACACAATGCTGGGCAATTAACCCGCCGATGATGATTCATGAAATGCAGCGTTTAGATAAAAACAGGCACACATGTGTAGGACGGCACTGAAGTACCAATAGTACATAGATATGTACATACTTGTATAGTAAACAAGAGAGAACGCTACAGTCGAGCAAGCCCGACAGTGAAATACCCTGTACCCAGGTAAACTTCCGACACTGAGGTATATGCGCCCATAGCAGAAGCAAAAAGAGGAAGAAGAAGAGCGAACTTGTTGCTGCAATTTGGAAGGGTTGCACTGGAGAGAATTTGTTTCGCGAATAACTTTTCTTAGAACTGACCGAATTGGATAAAATTAAATTAAACAACAGTAGATAATTATATATAAATGATATGTGCAAAGATTGGTTTAGGTAGCATTTGAAATGTAGACGCTATTGACGAAATTCTGTAGCGGGGGAAGGGGGGCGAAATTCCAAAAAATAAAATAAACTCGTCCTTTC